GGACAATGGTGGGGAGAGTGACTGGGGAGGGGGAAGGAACGGGGGGGAAGGGTCATTGGGGAGAAAAAGGGACATCTGTAATACTTTAAACAAAAATAAAAATTATAAAAAAATAAATTAATTAAAAAAAAGAAAAATATCTATTGAAATCCTCTGACCTTTTTTTAAACTGGGTGGTTGTTTTTTTAATATTAAGTTGTGTAAGTTCTTTATATATTTTGGATATTAATCCCCTATACGATATATGATTTGCAAATATATTTTCCCATTTAGTAAGTTATCTTTTATTTTGTTGGGGGTTTTTTGTTTGTTTTTTTACTGTGCAAAAGATTTTTATTTTGATGTAATCTCATTTGTTTATTTTTGCTATTGTTACCTTTGTCTGAGCAGACTGGTCCAAAAAATATTGCTAAGACCAATGTCAAATAGCATACTGCCTATAAATTTTTAGGAGTTTTATGGTTTCAGATCTTACATTCAGGTCTTAAATTTACTTTTTTGTGTGTTGTTTAATTGTTCAAAATATTACAGATGACCCTTTTTCTCCCCATTGACCCCTTCCACCCCTCCTTATTTTGAATTTGTTTTTATACATGGTGTAAAATAATGGCCTAGTTTCCTTTACTTGCATGTATCTGTCCAGTTTTTCTAACTTTATTTACTGAAGAAGTTCTTTGCCTCGTTGTATATTCTTGCATCGTTTGTCATAGTTTTTTTCCTTTCAGTTCAATGGTTTATTAATGATTTTTCTAATAAAATTCTACTTCATGATATATATATTTTTAAATTTATCTTTATTGTTGAAAGTATTACAGATTTCCCTCTTTTTCCCCCATTGATCCCCTCCACCCCGCATCCACCCCACTCCCAGACCTTAGCCATACCAATGTCTGTGTCCATGGGTTATGCTTGTAAACATATAAGTTCTTTGATTAATCTCTCCCCATCCACTCCCCCACCCCAACCTTCTCTCTGAGATCCCTCAGTCTGTTCCATGCTTCTATGTCTCTGAATCTATTTTGTTCATCAGTTTATTTTGTTTATTACATTCTACACATGAGTGAGATCATGTGGTACTTGTCTTTCTCTAACTGGCTTATTTCACTAAGCATAATACTCTCCAGTTCCCTCCATGCTGTCCCAAAGGATAGGAGATCTTTCTTTTTTACAGCTGCATAGTATTCCATGTGTAAATGTACCAAAGCTTTTTTCTCCACTCATTTACTGATGTGCATTTGAGGAGAGTGTATATTCTGCAGCTTTGGGGTGGAATGTTTTATAAATGTCAATTAAATCCATCTGAAGTAATGTGTCATTTAAGGTCACTGTTTCCTTGTTG